TCCTTTTTCTCACTTTCTTTTCTTGTCCTTATTTTCCCAGCAAGCATATACCTGCTGTGCTTTTCATTTTCTTCTTTTTTTCTTTCCTTTATCTTTATTATCTTAATCCTTCTCCATTTCTTAAGCACTTCAACAGCAGCGTCAATATTTCGTAGGGACTTGTAATCAACGAGCTTAACGCTGACGCATAACAGGTCTCTTAGCGTCATCAAAGCACAGGTAAATACATTCAATTAGTCTCTGTAGTTTTAAAAGCTGCGATTCTGTGGCCGTAAAATACCTCAATAATCACAAAATTTGACTGTTGTTTTAATACCGTGTGCCGAATGCCATATTGATGTTAGCCTAAGGTGTCCTATTACAGGGCCGTAGCCGGGGGTGGGTGGGTGGGGTAGGGGGCGTGAAAAGGTCCGCTCGGGGTAAAAATTGATCAAGGTACGCAAAGTTTTGATGGTAAAAGGTCCACTTTTTCAGAAGAAAGACGCCCCCCCCCCCCCTTGAACTTGCTGGCTACGAGCCTGCCTTACTTAGCTGTATCCAAACGTGATTTTCTTAGGTTTGTTATGACGACACACCAGGGCTTCTCAGAGGATCAAGGGTACTTGTACCTTTTATGTTGGGAAATGCTGGAGATTAGCCCTTTTTTCTCCCCTTTTCTCCCCGAATTATTTGAATGTAACAAATATAATTTCTGTATCGCTAAATCTTTGCGCCCATGTTATGATACTTGCTTCAAAAAGAGAAAAAAAGATATGAGGTCGCTTTTATATATATGTTTATATATTTTTTATTTGGTAAAAAAATGATGAAATATATTTCACAAATTTGGTCTTAATAAATAAATATACATGTACATATGTACAATCTTCACAATACGGGAAGATAACAGTACATCCGACCCTTGCCATAGCAAGGTCCTTATAACTAAACAACATGACTGGAGTACAGAAAATAAACCATGAATAAACAAATTACTTTAAAATTGATAATTAACATGAATTGAGTGAAATAAAATTCTGGAATTTTGCCAAAAAGCTCACAATTATGTGATGTTTTTTTAAGGACAATGGTCAAAATTTTAAAAAGAGCATCAGTGTCTTGTGACCTGCTGTGAGATCCACAGTACAGAGCCTACTGGTATTTACATGTTTCTTGTTGATCTGTCTCGCTCATCCAGTAGATACAGTTCTCAGCACCATTGAATCATATTTGAAATATCCTTAATCTAAGCTTAAAAGCCATTTAATTACACAACTGGCCATTTTAGTACAAAAATAGAAATCTGATATTTCCCCTTAGTCTACATATATGTACAATGATCATACAAAACTCTATCAAATAATGACCATTTGCATTTATCTGAATACAAATGCTTTTAAGTACAACAATCAAATGGAAATTATCATTTCTTGTGGTGACCAAAATATGCTATCTTTGCCTCCAGTCTGAAACACTGGACTGGTCTAATCTATGCCTTATCAGGTCCCTTTTGAGAAATAAATGCTATATAAATTGCATACTAATTGTCAAAATGCAATGAGGGGTACAGCCAAGCAATAAAAGATCTTAAGACCTCTCATTATTGTCAGAAATAAAATTTTGAAAAAAATTTAAAATATGCAAAAATGCAGTCAAATTCAACAGCTGGAAGCTAAGCAATTCTCAGCATGTTTTTAAAATGAAGAATGTTCCCTTAAAAAAAAAAGAGTTTAACTTTCTATAAAACTGACTTTTATTACCCAAACTACCATCAAAAAATTGTAGGCAAATGTCCAAAAGCAAAATTCACCCCTGGACAATTTAAGAAGCTAAGCTCTGTAATCTTCCAAACATACAAAAAATCTTAAGCAAAATGAAGCACTAAAAGGCATCCATACAAGTGTAGAGTTTAAAAGCGTCAGGTCTCTTGTACAATGAGAGAAACAATACAAGTTTCAAAATTAGTTAAAGGATAAGTTTTGACATTTAGCACATGAAACTTGCTCATCTAACAATACAAAAAAACACCAAGACTAAAAAGAAAAACATTACTGCAGTTAACATGTCCTATACATATTTGGTTTCAACAAAGTGCATAACAACTGTCGTGTTACTGCTACCGACTGTAGCTCTGTCGTCTAAATTGGTGACTCTCAGCACCCTGATGAGAGGAATTCACAAAAATTTGGTTGGGAGTCTCAAGTCTTTGACTACCATAGTCAAGTCCAAGGGCATTCAAGCTAGCAGTGGAGTGCAAGTTTGAATGCGAAGCCTGGCGTCAACTGACAGGCATTGGAGACGACACAAACAACGGTGATCCCAAGTTTTCAAATGCTGATGTAAATGGCTGGCCAGTCACTACTGGAGACAGCGCCACATGTCCGTTGACAAATCCAGGGAAGTTGAACTGAGTCGGAGAATTAAATCTGGGGCTCAGTGTTGATGTCACTGGACTCAGTGAGCTCCAGAAGGTGATTGGTCCATATGGAGTTCTCTGTAGAGGACTAGCCAATAGGAGTGGAGTTGTTAAACTCTGCAGAGGGTGGCGTGGGCTGTACATTGGGAAGCTGGGAATGCTTGTTTTGGGGATTTCGATTGGCTGTGGCTTGGGGCGATTAACTGATGTTGAAGCGTTGCTCTGACTCGTTTTAGCACACTGCGGCTGAGATGACAGTAGAGGAGAGGGCGCCACAGGCTGAGAGGCTGCTATGGACTGCACTGGCATCCGCGCAGGAGATGGCGAATTACGTGCTGGTGACGGAACAGCACGTGCTGGTGAAGGCGCAGCAGATGGTGGCTTTGGCGATGGAGTGTTGGATGGAGGCGCCATCTGTTGTGCAGGCTGTGGAGTTGTGTTCAAGGAACGCTGCGGCTGGGCCACAGGCTGAGGGCTGCTCCTGTACTGTGGTTGCTGTGGAAGATACTTCATCTCCATGTTGGGAGTGAACTTCACTTCGGTGAACTTAATCTCATTGTTGGCCGTGCTGAAGTTGCGCACTGGCGTTGGCACGTGCATGTACGTAGCTGGTTGCGACACAATCGGTGAGGGCGATGTCTGCCATTGTGACACAGGTGTTGGGATCTGTGGCTGTTGCTTTGTAAGATTCTGTTTAATATCATATGGACGGAATGTCATGAAACCTGGAAGGGATCGAAATCCTTCTGTTGCCAAGCTCTCCATCTTCACTTTGAAAGGAATTTTGTTCTCTGTTTTTATCGTCTCGGGAAACGATACAAATTTATACACAAATTTCTGTCCCATCACCTTCTTGATGATGTTCTTGTCGTAGTAGTATCGGAGAGCACGGCTTAGTTTGTCGTAATTCATGTTCTGCTTGTTTTTGCGGAGGCCCCACAATTTGGCCACTTCTTCAGCATTAAGCAGTTTAAATTCTCCTTCATTCCCAGTCCACTGAATTATGTCGTTGTGCTGGCCACTCAGTAATAACTCCAGAAGAAACTGCCAGAGTGTGATGTTGGAATCCATACCTGAAGAGAAAGAAATACAATAACATAATTACATGATTCACTATAATCCAGGTATCACACAAATGTATATATAATATTACCACAAGTATCAACTATGCAAGGCATCATAATAAAGATGGTATTGATAACTGTCAGATTTTCTTACTCTTAGAGATTTAATTTCCACGTAATCCAAGACTGGTAAAAGTGGAGCAGTTATTATGTGATATCTAACATATGAGATGAACTATAATTCTCGTGTGTGGGAGAAGAGTGGGCGGGTTCATTATTGTCCAACAGCAAACCCACCTCAGAGACTCATTTAACCCCCCCCCCCCAGCCCCCCCCCCAACCCCCAGGTCACCTACCAAACTCCCAGGCCCATAATTCCATACATTAACAAAATTCACGCCAGAATACCCATAAGAGCTGACCTTCAACTTAACCCCACTAGTCTGGCTCAGTACACAGGCACAGAAGCTGGAACTTGTCACAAAATCAATAGATGACGACGGTTAACTCAGTTAAGACTTCTTCCCAACAGGCGCAATTCCCACAGAGAAAGACCTGGGCTTGAGGTCACACATATGTGGCCTCCATCAGACCGGGGTTTGACATCAAGGCTATAAATAGGAGGTCGCAAAGGGACCTTAATTACTCATTTCAAGTTGCGATGCATAAATCACATGTTTTCCGGGTGCAAGTTTTTTTCCCCTTCACCACACTGGGTAATATTATTCACATTGCACTTAAGTCTGTCTGTGGTACGGCATATATGAAATGCGGTGTGAAAAAAGTATTGAGTTTTCATTTGTGTATGAGTAAATATGGCTCTTTGGAACACTCATCATTTTACTTATTATATTTCCAAAAACATGAAGACAAACTGTAGGCTAATTGCAGAAACCAAGAATATATTTCAGTCATGATCTTGGAGAGGGGGGGGGGGGAATGATTCAGAATAAAATACAACCACCATTAAAATCTGACAGCATGGCAAGACAATATCTTCTCTGTGCAATATATTACAGCTGACATATAAATATTGCATGAAAACACTCAATAACCTCTGTATGCTATCACAGAAACACTGTAACTAAAAATACCAATTCATCAACGGTATCCATCTCAGCTTATCAATATCAAGGCTCTTAATGCCCACGGAATCTTTTATTACTCACTCCGTGACCCGCATTATCGTCAGACTATCTACATATGTATCAAAAATCCCTACATTTTCCACATCATGAAAGGACTGGCTTATCTGAACCACAAATGTACCTGAAAATCCCAAATTATGTACATCATGACTTTCATTAGTTATCAGTCTGAAAATGTCCGAATTATTCATCAGCTGATTTAGGACTTATCAAGCAGTACGTGACAAGATATAACGAGGAGTCTTCAGAGACGTATTCTATCTACACACCACTCTGGTCTATCATGACACTGGTGCTTTCAAGTTATGTATCACCAAAACAATCTTGATGAAACTCGGCTGAGCTTTTAAATGCCAGATTGTTAGCTTTGATGGCTGCCATGGATAATGCCAC